AATAAGTGAAGAGATGATAAACAACACTTGACATAATAGGAAAATAATATAACTTATTCATAAGGATCTTAGAAAGGAAAAAATATTGCAGTTGCTCCAATAGAAAGTTGGCCACTATAACACTAAAGTTGGCCACTATAATACTTCAGTTGGTTTAATCTAATCAGTAAAACTGATCCTCTTTTTTCAAATTTAAGTTTAAGAAATTAATCAATTAGCAAATTTAGCCAATGACCTATTGGTCCAAGTGGAACGTGTTTAGTTCCTCTTAAATAAAATCTCGTGTTCAAGTCTTTTGAATGAAAAAACAGGCATTGGGAGAGCTTCCCCCTTATGAGGTCCAACATAACTTGATTTCCAATTATTAGATACTGGGAGGTTAATACAAAAAAAAAAAAAAAAATCAATTAGCAAATTGCAACTTAAACTCCACCAAGTGCCCATGGATTAACTATGCAGAAATCCTAAAACACCTTATTCAATATGCTAGTCTCAAATCAAAAACAATATTTATGATGCATCCTCCAATCATTCACAAATGGTTGCACTAACCAAGGTTTAGGCTCAAATTATAAAGAGTTTCTCTTAAGAAAATTATCTATGTTAGTTATTATACATAAAAACTTTATTGCTATTTTCCAGGAAAAGAAATGCTTAACTATTTGTTAGTCTCTTAATATGCAATTCAATGGTGGAATTCACCGATGTTCTAAAGGCACATATATAATCCCAATTCATCATTGAATTGAAGAACACATATACATTTTCAACTAATGTCAATGTTTCTTTATCCAAGCATGTCCCTGCAAGAGTAATCCCTCCTCCTACTCCATCCCCAACCTTTTAGAATCATGCCACATGGTTTTTAGCAAATTGTGCCTTGAAAAGAGCCTTTAACACAAAAAAATAAATAGGAGAAAATAGTTATAAAAAAAAAAAAAAAAAGCCACATAGCGCATGAAATTGCGCCTAATCATACTGCAATTGTAGAGTGATCACCTATCCACTAACATAAAAGGAGAGAAAAGTTCATGTTTATGCACCTTATCTAAAATTATGACTATATATCTCTTTCTTACGCTTTTTCCATTTGAATTCTAATATTTTTCTCTCTTATTTATTCCAATTAAAATTAGAATGTATAAAAGAAAGAAAAAAATTCGAAAAAAATAAAGATGGAAAGAGATGGATGTGACATGATATTATACACAAATGAAATTCTTATATTCAACTATTTAGTAAAACTAAAGAATATTAGTTGGATGTTTTACATACCACTTTCCATGATGCCATGCCTTTTTTTGATGACTCCATGTGAATTTGTGGCAAATAGTCAGATACAAAACACTATAAAATGGAATGTTGACTTGTGTGCTAGAAGCTTTGTCCATCCTTCTTTGGTCTAGTTGATGCATACACTGAATGGATGTAATTTATACAAGTCGTATCAAATCAAAATCCGGTCCTGAAAAAATTCAATTATCAATTAATCAACCAATGATGATATTCTAGATAATTATCCAATCAAAGTAAAGAGAAACAAAAGTGACATAGAAGTGTTTACTTATGGATTCTAGAATAATAGAATTACCATAATTTTTTAGTATTCACAATAATCAAAAAGGAATTGAAAGGACTAATATGTGCATACCAATTCTAAACTTCTAATCTTGCAGTTTAGGGGATGGAACCAATCTCATCCTTTAGAAATGCCGCTAAGAAAGTAGTTTTCTCGTCCTTCCGATCTCTTCTCAAATCTCACATCCAATGCCTTCGATTCTAACTGCTAGTTGCTCTTTAATAGCCTATTGTTGGTTTTTTTTTTTTTTTTTTGTCTTTTAATCTCCTCTCTAATTCCCTCAGTTCTCTTCCTCATGCTTCTTGAACTTTGGCTCTCCACGATCTGGAGTTCATGGTTGATGATGATCGGATAATTAGTGGTGGTGAAGAGAGTGGACTAAGGAAGGGGAATGGGTCACCATGAAGAACTGAGATCAATAATCAAAATTCGAAACCCACATATCAAATTCAAAAACCCGCCACCTTCGAATTCAATTTAATTACCTTCTAGATTGGAAAATGCAGCGAAATTGAAAATTGTATGATGGATTCTTTATCGTAGAGTTGGTCCAAGCTGCCTCATCCTCCTTGCCTCCAAACTCTAATTACCACCCATATAAACTGCTAGAAGGTATAAGGGTAGTTTCTTGCAGTTTTGAATGGGAAAAGGCAGAAGCACATGTGGAGCAATCAACAATCGATGTTGGTTAGCAATACTTCTCGCCATTTCTGATGGAGAAACAACGGAAGCACAAAAGTGGAAGGTATACATAAGACATCTGCAATGCCTGTCGTTTTGAGCCATCCAAGCCCATTAAAGCTACATTAAATACCTGGTTTGGTCCTCAACTTTCATTTTTAAACCAAATCTACCCTCAAACTTCAAAAGCACTAAAAACATTCTTGAACTTCAATTTTTGGGACCAATTTGGTCCTTCCGTCGATAGAAGTACCAGATGGCGTGTTAAGTTGCCATGAAATCATTTCTTGTTTTAAGTCTTTAATGACATGGAAAATAACTTATCCACTGTGGTATTTTTATTGTTCACGTAAATTCTTCCTTTCCTTTAAGTGGGGCCCACCTAAAATACTTCTATTGCTAAAATACAGTTTTTGGTAATAAAAGGCACCATTCTAAAATGGTGTTTTTTGTCAAAATACATTCATTTGATATGTGTCTTTTCATAAAGACATATCTTTCGGTTAATATCTATTCAAACAATATAAATTTTTTAAATAAAATTCATATTTTGTACCTAATTTTAACAAAGTTTTTGACTTATGTTATATTATAAAAGATTTTTAAATTTTTTAAAAAAATAAGATCATGCCTCAAAATCTTTTTATTATCCTATTTTCCTACCCAAAAATAAAAAAAAGAATTACCGTGCAAAATGTGGCAGACGACTTGGTCAAAGAATGCAAGAGCACAGAGTCAGTAGCTGAACAATCAAAAGGTCATTTTGAATTTATAATTGACTGTGATTAGCCCTGGGCATTTGAAACTGGAACCGACGGATTATCAGAAACCGAACTGAAAAAATGAATTTGATTCGGTTTAAATGGTTTTGATTTTTATTATTTCGGTTTTTATATTAACCAAATCATTTTGATTCGGTTTTGATTGAAATTTTTAAAAATCAAAAACCAAAAATAAAACCAAAATTAGGATAAAATAGGTAAAATATAATAAAATATAATAAAATATAACAAAATATAATAAAATATGTGATAAAATATAATTTATTATTAAAAAAATAATTAATTAATATTTATTTAATAAAAACTGAAACCAAACCGATTTCATTGATAAAAATTGGTAACCAAATTAATTGATTTATAAAAATTTTTGTTCGATTTTGGTTTATAAAATTAAAACTAAATTTTTTTGGTTAATTCAAAATCGGTCTCGGTTTTCAACCGAAACCGGTTTTGCCCACCCCTAACTGTGATTAAAGAAACAGAAAAGTAGTTCCATTACTCTCTTGTATCCAGACGTTTCGAAAGTCTTTTGGCCGAAGGTCTTTGGTTTAATACACAGTTTTTTCACTTTCCGCAGAGTTTGGACGCTGTTGACTCTCAATATTTGGAAAAAAATGGTGATGATATAAAAGCATATACATGCATGTTCTTAGTATATTTTTTCTCAAAATAAACCTTAAACAGACTTTTTATCCACTGGCGTTATATTTTAAAAGAGAACTTGTATGAATAGCCAGTCCAATCCAGTGGTATAAAGGGCTGTTCACCTTTTGTAAATGATGTGTTGAAGTCTTATGGATCTTATTTTTTCTTCTTTTAATTAACTAATATATGTAATTAATTTTAATCTGTTAAAAAAAAAAACTTGTTTTCTACCCAAAACATATTTTTTTTTTATTTTTTAACGTTAATAATATATGTAGATCGATAAGAATAAGTAGGAGAAAAAGGTTTTTTAATTATTAAATTATAATATTTTTTTAATTAATTAAAAAACCTTTTTCTTCCCACCTCTTTCTTTTATTTTCCTTAATCTAAATATACTATGAGAGATTATTTGATTGGGAAAAAACATTTTTCCTAAAGTTTTTTGAACTTTCCTCTTTACAAGATTATTTATATATTTTTACATATTAATAGCATAACAAAATAAAGATAAAAGTAATATTTTTAACTTTTATTTTTCTTAACATAATTCTTAATCTATAAAGTTTTCTTTACACATTTTTTTTGCAAGGAAAAGTTTTCCTATAACCATATTTAAGCGTGACTTATTTAACAACTTCTTCTATTAATTTTTTTTATATTAATTTTTATCAAACACAATAAAATTAATAATTTAATAAAATTTTAACAAAATTTTATGATAAAACTTAATAATATTTTATACAAT